ATTAATATAAAATTGGATATAACAAATATTTCGGACATTCACCAAAGCGACTATGTGATTGTTGACATTCACCGGTGAGAGTCAGAAATAAGGGTATTAAGCAAATATTTCGGACATACACCAAGCGACTACGTGAATGTTGACATTCACCGTTGAGTGTCAGCATTCTCCAGATTTCAGTGTTTCACCGTAACATATATATATATATATTATATTTAATATTATATAGATATACTTTTCTTTAATTTAAACTTCACTTCTTAATAAAAAAAAAAGCATAATTTTTACTGTATCATTTCTAAAATTTGGCGGCACACAAAAGTGCCATGGCACAGTGGTTGAGAATCACTGCTCTTATTAAATACCATATGTGCCTTACATTGAGATTTATTAGCAATTTTAAGTTAAGTTTTATAACAGTTTTTTCATAAACTTATCACAGGAGGACAGTATTCTAATAATATTTTTTTATTGATACAGTTTAGTTTGTCGTGCTATAATTTAATGAACAGATGCTTGATTTAAATACTTGCATTAATGCTGACTACTTGTTCTTTCAATTGTGTAATTTTTTTAATTAAAAGAATTTTGATATATTTGTTTTCAGATGAGATTTGTATTAAATATCATACAAAGGGATGCCACTCCACAGGAAGAACCTGGAAAATATAGGGAATTTGAAAATCACCTAAAAACAAAAGGAATTTTGTTTCTTATTTTCGTCTTAAAATGGTGACAACTCAAAGGGTAATCTATGGGATTTTTAAGCACATTCAGCTGTTTCTTTTTTCTCTCTAAGTTTTTCCAGTAATTAAAACTGTAGTTAGCTTAATATAGTTCACGCAAGAGCACAGTAGTTGTTCGTTCTGTTTCCTCTTAATATATTGTGTATAATATGTACGGGGAATTTTTTTTCCAGATTTGAGTGGCAAACCTGTATTTGGCTGAATACTTCTGTACAAAATTTGTTACATGTTCACGTCTATTTATTTTTTGTTGCTGATTTGCGGATGCTTGTTTTGACCGGGGCTGCGCAATATGTCAGACAACTTGAAAGAGGTTCGGGGGAAATACAGGCAGCCCTGGGAAAAAATTTTGGTCTAATAAAAAAATAACAATTCTATAGAAGTTTTAATTCTTTATATCATACCAATTTATTGTCTAAAGCAAAAAGGAATGTTTTCCGTTATGTGAAATAAAACAGACGTACTTTAAGTCAATTTGAATTCCCTAAGTTTAGGAGTGGGATCGTAAATTTTAGTATTATATACAGGGTAAAAAATCAAAATGAATATAGGGATTACACTCAGCTATAACTATTAAATGAAAAATAGTTTATCGATAAGGTTAACATAGAATTTCAAAATTTCTTTACGTAAGGCATCATGAAGCGAAATCCTGTCATTAGTGAAAATGCTAAGTCCCGTGCATTCTGCGTGTTAGAATTTAACAATTGTCATTTTGTTAGCACAGTGCAAAGATTTCGTTAGCGTTACAATCAGTTTTAATCAAATTGTTAAAATCAAAAAATTTAAGATCTCAAAGAGCGCATTTGTATTGCGTTCTCATGGTTGACTGCACAAATGCTTCAAAATGTATGGTGTGAAATGGAATATCGCCTAGATGCTGTCTGTGTGACCAAGGGAAGTGACATAGATAATACATTTCTTCTACATTTTGTGTACATTTTATAGATAAATTCTTTTTCATTAAATAGTTATAGCCGTTTTGTAATCACTGAATTCATTTTGAATTGCCTTGTATTACTATGATTTCAATAATTGACGTGTGTTTTGATTTCTGTTATTTAGTATGTAAACTAGTATGCTAGCATATTCAAGATTAGTGCAAGACTAAACTGATTTTTTTTATTTGTTAAGGGAAAAATTGGTTTCAGAAAGGTTTAACAATATACAAATTTTACTTCCTAAAAATAATATTAAAAATTATTATAACTGAAAAAAAAAACATTTGTATTTTGGGTGCTGGGGATATCTGGCCTAAAGTATCTGAACTTTTTGCACTGTCTTCCATCACAGTCAATTTGGGTGGCTATATAGTCTAATTTGTTCTACGAAATCAGAGTTTTTGAACACCCATTTTGTCAAACCATGTCTGTGGAAGAGTGCAGCAAAATGCTCCACAGGAACTAACAGGCCAAAACAGAACCCCCGCATCTTTATGCTTCGATAACATTTAGATAATGGCATCGCTAGTTTTAATTCCAACGATGTTGCACTAGGATTTAAAGTAATTAAAAGTGGTGTTGTGCCTTTGTTTTTTTTTACCTCTAAACTAGTTTATGTGTCGCTTAAAGACACAACCGAATAGTTATGTGTCTTGATGCTTAAAGACATAACTATTTGATTTATATAACAGTTAATGGATAGTGTTTTCAATATAAATGTAAGCAACAGCAATCTCTAGCTCTTGAAATGTTCCGGTAGAGAGTATACAGATGTTGTATTGTTAAAAATGGTGACATAGTTGCTAGATTTAGAGAGAACTCTCTTTTTGGTAGTTCTGATTTGCCCTCTTTTTACTTGTTTATTACTGTTCTTGTTGCGAGCCATATACCATCATATTTTAGTGTTAGCATATTGTTCAAGCAGCAACATTAAGTTGATTTTACAAATTGGTATATTCGAAGCTGGAATATTGTTAACAAGGTAAGAAGTGTTTTATAACGATTCTTACATCTTGAAATGACAGGCCTTCAAATGACGATTTATGTACATATAAGCAGAAGTGCAGAATATTCTTAGACCCTAATATTCCCTATGAACAAAGTTCTTTTTATCAAAATTTCCTCAAATTTTTAGCTTTTTTTTAGTACAATAACTTTTTGAAAATATTTTTGTAACAAAAAGTTTATAGAAGAAAAAGATTTATTTCATTTTACACAATTTTTAATTAATAAATGAGCATATGTGTAATAAAATATAAATCAAACTATTTTGAAATAGTAATAATTTATAAAATTAAATTTAATGTCCCACTTATTAACTATAAGAATTCAAACTAATAAATACACACATTGGGGCTGTCTCAATAGCAGGCATGGCCCCAGGGCAAAAAATGTTTTGGACTCCTTAAATATGTCATACTGTTTAAAATTTAACTAAAAAATTTCACATACATAAAATAATGCCTTTTCAAGATATGCAATAATTTTAACGAAGTTACAATTTTTATCACCCCCAAGAACTCAATGCTCATAATTTTAAAGCAAAATTGAGATGCTATCCAGTTGCAATTCTCAAATAATAAAATAATTTTCAAAACCAAGAAGCTAATTGAATTTAAAAAAAAAAACATAAGGGTGTAGCAAATAAGAAAATTCAAAATTATTTTGTCACTTAAAAGTCAGTTATTAAAACAACTTTCAGTGGACATACCCCATTTAAAAATTGCTGTCCTGTAGTGCTCTATGATTCTTTCAATTATTACTTTATTAAACTAATTATAAAAGCTAAATAGAGTTGGTGGTGGTTAAACATATTTAGAGAAATCAGTTGCGTATGCATAGACTTCATTTAAACGTAGAAAAATAGATTTCAATTGATTTTTTAATTTTTCCTTGTAATAAACTATTCAAATTATTGGAGTTATGTACGATAATCAATCACTATAGAAAAACACACTTTTTACACAAGATTATATTTATTTTTAAAAAAATATAGAATGCAATGTCTTTGCTCTTTTTTTTTTTTAAATACAATTTATGAAAAGTAAGATTCACAAGGGCCCCCTGAGTGCTTGGGGTATGCCTAAAGACGGTAGTAATGCATATGTATATATTGTATTTGTATATAATTGGTCAGGATAGCTGTCAAAGGTTTTTACTGTAAATTATATGTTTTTCTTATTTCATCGTGTCTCAAGAACTTTCTAAGTAAATTGAAAATTATTTGCACGCAATTATGAAATTTACTTGTCCAAAGATAATCATGGGTGATTGTACTCTGGGTTTTTTAAATCATACCTCAAGGTATAGAAAGGCCATAGATTCGCAGACTTCTCCCAATCAAAACTTATAATTCGACGAAATTTTCACCGCAGTCTAAAATTCAAAGAAAGAATTCAATTCTACAATTTTAATTTTGAAACCTTCGCTTTAACGCGACGTTTTCACTATTCCGTAATTTACATTTTTTTATTTTAGATTTTAGGAATTTCCTCGTTTTTAACATTCGAAACTTCACCGGAATCTGCTAATATTGCGATTCATATTCACATGATTTTAATATTAAACATAGATTTTCGTATTTACCTAATTTAAAAGTTACTCATTGGGAATCTTATTCATAGAATTTAAAAATCGTTCATCGCGATTCATATTCATGTGATTTAAAAATCCAATTTCCCAATTTGTATTTACTCGATTCAAAAATCCAATATTGCTCATATATATATGTATATACGATATGTATACCTATACAGTATGTTTTATAGATGCAATATGTATTTTCGCTTTCTTAAAATCGAATATCGCGATTCATATTCATACGATTTTTATATCCAATATAGCAATTCTTGTAAGAACTAGGTTTTTCTTAAATATGAATAGTATATAAATTGATATTGAGCTTTTGCACATAAAATTTTCAGGGTTTTGTGTCACAATCACCCTTGGATAATTCTGTATGAAAAAAAAATTTCGAATTTGTTATTTTGTTTAATAATATTCTAAAAAATTTTGACTAGTAAACAGGATCGCCACCTCACAAAATGAGACATTCAGGGAAACAAATTGTCTTTCAGCAAACAGTTTTTTCTGCCATAAAGAAAAATTATATCAATGTGAATTTTTTTTCAGCAAATCTTTTATTCGATCACAGTAATTACGAAAGATAAGTCACAGAACAAATTAGAATTATATTATAAGTCTAGATAATATAAACAACAAAAGCTTAAAATAATATAGATTCGCTGCTGTTCTTTGCCAGATCACGCAATATCACGTGACAGTCAATAAAGCAGATTAAGTGGTTGTTGATGCATATTATCATCCTATTATTTTTGCTGAAAATATGTTTTCTCAGGACAATAAGACTGCGGTGGGGCTCTACTCCCTGGATATATATTTATATGTTACGCTTTGACAGCTTAAACATTGTAGATTCGTAGTGTGGCTGCTGTTAATTGAAAAAGATACAGGAACATGGAGAAATAATACAATTTTATTACAGTAAGGGCCGGAGCCCCAAAAATGAGAACATTACATGCTGGTGGATAAATAGAGAAGAGCCAATTGACCTTGAAACAAGGGTTTTTATATCTTTCTGTACAATATATTTAAATATTAATAGGTCTTAGTAACGTGAGACTGATCAATTTCCCAAGCTACTAAAGACACAATATCACATTTTCTGAGATAATTAGATCAATATTATTACTTTTGTGGGAAAGGTTATTGCGCATTAGATACAATTCTTTTAACATTACGCACACACACTGTATAATATAACAACATAGCACTATATCTCCCCTTAATCAATATTAAGGGGAAATTCTTTTAACATTACATAATATTCCCACCTCTGAAGAAAGGTCTGATCAACATGCTACCCTATTGGTCAGGGCTTCCCCACTCACGCGATTTCAAATTAAAATTAATTAAATTTGGTATATTGTCCGATGTTATACACTTATAAATAAAGTACAGTACAGAACCCGTTATCCGGAAACCAAAAAACCGGAACGAAATTTGGTAAATTTTCCCCGCCATTTTTGTTTTTTTTAATTTTTTTTCCTCGTAAAATTTTAGGATTTTTCTTTTTTGAAAGATGTTTACCTTACCATCATTTTGGAAATAATCATTAGTGCATTACTTCATATTTTTTTCTTCTTTTTAAGATTATTTCCAAATATTTTTCTTTTTTTTAGTTGCTTTTAACAATAAAAAAAACAGCTTTTTGTAGCGATTCAGAAAACCGGAAAAATCAGTTATCCGGAATAGCGATGGTCCCGATCGTTCCGGATAATCGGTTCCCTACTGTATTACAACAATAACATTTTCATAAACGTAACTAAATATTTCTGCATAACTTCGAATAATAATAATGAATAACTTTACAATAATGATAATGTACTTATTTCCTTTTCCTGTTGAAAAGAATAAAAAAATATCAAAACAAATCCGAAATATCTAGAATAAAAATATATCAAACCAAAATTTCACAATTTGTGAAAAGTTCTTCTTTTGAAGTAAACTGGATCCATTGCTCAGGCCTGTAGTTTTTTAAACATATTATATTATTCGTCCATGGAAGAAGAAAAGAGAATGTTTGTGTTTTTTGTCATCATTGTTTCATTCTTGAAACAATTATTATTTATAAAGTTATTTAAATTCACTTATCATTTAAATAGTTTTTACTTATTATTCCATTAATAATTATGTATTTTCACAAATATTGTGTAGAATTAGTCACGAAGAATGAAATACACTTAAAAAAATCCTTTCTAAGAAGAAATACAAGTAATCTAATTTAAAGTGCTTACTCTTACAAATAATATTTAAAATATTTCAAAAGCATAAAAATTTACATACAAAGTACAAAATAAATCTTTGTAGAAAATAATATGCTTAATCCAAGTTAATAAAAATATGTGCGTTATCCATTGATAACGTTTGATAGTTTAAGTTAGGTTAAATATTCCCTACTACCCAAGTAGCACAGGGATATTGTAACAGCTTTAGTCTACATCGACCGACATTGTCAGTATTGGCAAAAATCGAAATTGTGTGTACGATTCCCTTCGATTTCACATTAAAAATCTGTTTGTAAAATTTTCATTTAAAGCTGTATTGTGTTCTTAAATTAAAATTAATCATTTAAAAGACAAAAAATGAGGTCAAATTGTTATAATTCCAAAAAATAAATTTAAAATATAAATTTAGAGATATCCGANAATTGTGTGTACGATTCCCGTCGATTTCACATTAAAAATCTGTTTGTAAAATTTTCATTTAAAACTGTATTGTGTTCTTAAATCAAAATTAATCATTTAAAAGACAAAAAAAGACGTCAAATTGTTATAATTCCAAAAAATAAATTTAGAGATATCCGGACAATATTTGATATCAATATTGTAATCTTGTTTTTGTCACGAGATCTATTGTTTTCACTAAATACTGAAATCTACGATATATATCACTCGGAACCGTAACCCGTTAAGATGCTGTTTATCATTTTTCGCTACACCTGCGGTCTATTTATCTTCTGTCTTCTTATATTTAAATCTAATTTCGTCTCATAAGATTTATATCTTAACGCATAATGTAAGTGGATTGAAAATTATTTCGATTTAGAGAGCCCGAAAACTCAAACCAGTTGAAGATGAAGAAGAATTAATGCACCTTGTTGAAGTGAGCGAATTCTCTGATCTTGGCAGGTATGTGCTCTTTTTAATATATATAATTATATATTGCAAGAATTACATTGATTTTCTCCTTTTTCATGTCCAGGCTGCTTAACTATTTAATTATATCACATTATTCAATTCTCATATTCACAGACAGTGGCGTAATTTTATAGTATGTTTGGAGGTGTTAAGCCTTCTGACAGGCTTATGTTTATATTTTTTCACACCTGCCAAATTGTACATTCGATGAAAAATATTTTTTAATACTTGAACTAATTAAAAATATAATAGCTAATTGAGCTAACAAATGGATAATTTTTGCATATTTTTTAATTATTGATTTGTCATGGTGATTGAAATGTTTTTTTTTTTTCTTCGAAATTTTAAATTGCAGATTTAGTTTGTCTAATAGATTGATTTAATATGTCTACTGAGGATTTAATAAGATATCTAATGTTGCTGCCTGCTAGTAATAAGTTTTTTTCTCAACCGTACAAGTTTGCAGTAAATATATATATGTGTATGTGTTTAATTGTTATTTAATGTTATGTTTAATGTATCTAATTAATGTATAATGTTCAAATTACAAAAAAAAAAGAATTGAATCATGAAAATTTTATATGTCTACATCTTACTTACCGAACCGAGCAGCTCATTAATCAAGTAATTCATAATTTCAGAAGGGGTTTTAACTTACATAAACTGAAGTTAGTTAACTATTAAATTATATCACATTATTCAATTCTGATATTCTCAAAGATCTTGTTTACTTTTATTGGTTCTGTGCACTATAACAATTTGTCTGCTCTTCTTGAACTAAAAAAATGTCTGAAAGATGACGAACTTGTTCAACGTTCCTCCCATATGCTTGTTCCTCCCATATGCTCTCCTGATACTATTCTTCGGGTACATATATGTATTTATTAGGGTACATTATAGGGTATGTGCACACCTAGAAAGTCATGGATTTCATTATTGAACAAAATTTGTCATGATCTTAACTATTATTTTTTTAATTGCAGATTTAGGTAACTGAAAAATCTTAATTTTAAAAATGGAATCCCTCTAATTTCATAGCGTTCTGGATATCAGAATTTGTAACAAAATATCCAATCTTAATCGTATTTTATTAAAATATAAAATGTTTCAATTGTGTTCTTTAAAATAATTAAGGAAAGAACATCCTTTCTAGAGCGAATAATCTTTTAAACTTCAGTGATTTCAGAATCTTATTAATTATTTTATTTGTTTAATTTTTTTTTTTTTNTGCAGATTTAGTTTGTCTAATAGATTGATTTAATATGTCTACTGAGGATTTAATAAGATATCTAATGTTGCTGCCTGCTAGTAATAAGTTTTTTTCTCAACCGTACAAGTTTGCAGTAAATATATATATGTGTATGTGTTTAATTGTTATTTAATGTTATGTTTAATGTATCTAATTAATGTATAATGTTCAAATTACAAAAAAAAAAGAATTGAATCATGGAAATTTTATATGTCTACATCTTACTTACCGAACGAGCAGCTCATTAATCAAGTAATTCATAATTTCAGAAGGGGTTTTAACTTACATAAACTGAAGTTAGTTAACTATTAAATTATATCACATTATTCAATTCTTCAAAGATCTTGTTTACTTTTATTGGTTCTGTGCACTATAACAATTTGTCTGCTCTTCTTGAACTAAAAAAATGTCTGAAAGATGACGAACTTGTTCAACGTTCCTCCCATATGCTCGTTCCTCCCATATGCTCTCCTGATACTATTCTTCGGATACATATATGTATTTATTAGGGTACATATAGGGTATGTGCACACCTAGAAAGTCATGGATTTCATTATTGAACAAAATTTGTCATGATCTTAGCTATTATTTTTTTTAAAATTGCAGATTTAGGTAACTGAAAAATCTTAATTTTAAAAATGGAATCCCTCTAATTTCATAGTGTTCTGGATATCTGAATTTGTAACAAAATATCCAATCTTAATCGTATTTTATTAAAATATAAAATGTTTCGATTGTGTTCTTTAAAATAATTAAGGAAAGAACATCCTTTCTAGAGCAAATTATCTTTTAAACTTCAGTGATTTCAGAATCTTATTAATTATTTTATTTGTTTAATTTTTTTTTATTTTAATCAATTTAAAATTCTTGTTTAGGCTTTTTATGTTACACTTTTAAGAAGAAAAAAAGCAGCTTTAAAAAGTTATTTACTGTTGTATTTTTTTTTCAGCTATTTAAATGCTTCAACTCTTTCTTTACTCAATTTTTAAGTTTAATATCAATATATGAGAAGATTTAGAGCCCCGTGGCAGATTTTCAGAGACACAGCAACATTTTCACTGAACATTACAGAGTTCTTGCAGAAAGATTTTTCTTTTTAAAAGTAAAAAAAAAAATTACCTTTATTTATTTTTTGACAGAAATTTACCAATTATATTTGAATCGTGCATTTGAATAATGACTTTTTGACACGCTCACTATACGCCGATAGTAGCGTAAATTGATGTATTTTTTCTGTTGTATTTTCGTCAGTTATTGATGTTGATTTTCAAGTGGATTTTAAACATCCCGATAAGCAACCTGAAAAATTCGAATCTTGTATTTGGGTATGTACTTTTTAGGTCAATAATTCTGTTGAATTTTATCAGTTATTGCTATTGATTTCTCCATAGTTTTTAAATCTGATATTTTTTATACAATATTTTTATACAACAGTCTAATCAAGAAACGAAACACTCATTTGAGGTGACCAATTCGTGTGAATTTGTCGTCAATCTTTTTTTTTTTTCGCCAAGTACTGCTGTGGATTTAATAATTTGCAATTTTTTTTATTGTGATGACAAAAGGTGAAGGAAATAATTTCTGTATCCCCCTGCCTCCCAACAAAATGCAAATATGTTACATGTAATGTTATAATAAAAATTATATGTTCAATTTAAAAAAAGTTATATATAGTTTTTTTTTTTTTTAAACACAGTGCTTTTGTTATTTTAAATTAGCAGCATACATGTTTATTATTATGAAAGGTATCTTGCAGAAAGATATTAGTGCTAGAGAGTTTTGTCGCAGATAGCTCGAAAAAATTCTGCCTCAAGGATTCAGAGTATAACAGCTTTGGTTATACCTATCATTTCAATTAATGTTATTATATTGCCTTTTTAAATTTATTGTTAGTGTTTTTGTCGGAGAAAATAGTAACTTCGGTAAGTCACGACAACTTCTTGGAATTATTGATGGAAAGTCAGGGATTTGAAAATCTTAAATGTCGCAGATACCCCGTACATAATGAAAAGCAATCCATAGCTGAATATGTCCCAACTTTGCAACATATTTTAACTTATGTGATTCTGAAGTCAAATATGACTGTGATAAGTGTTTTGATGGTATAGGTATTTCTCCGCACACAATTTATACTTAGAATTTGTGATAATTGAATTTGTAAACATACAATCTGATACTGCAATGTTTAATATATTTATGCAAAGGCAATTGCTTTGAAAGCTTCTCATATACAAAGTAAAGAACTAATGCAAGAACTCTTTTAGTGAAAAGTGACTGAAGTCATATATAATATATTATAAAAATGAAAAATTTAGATAATTCCTTCCTTCAGCAATCCCATGCCCGTTTTTCTTGTATGGTCTTAATTGATGATAAAATATGAGGTACATTTTGTAATGGTTATTAAAGCATGTATATATATTTTTTTTTTCTTCTTTCAGATATGTTATTTTGAAACCATCTGTAAAGGCTATCTATGCTCTTTTACTTCAGCACCATCTTGGAATTGGCGATGACGTATTGTAAATTCGAATGAAAAGGGAAACAGTGTTTTGAAAGCCTCTCAGCTGCTACAAATGCCATCGTGGGTAATTTTATAGACATAGAATTTTAAAATTTGTAATAAGACTTTACTTTTTCATGAGTCATTATCTTTGCACTAAAATGGATCAGTTATTCCTTAAATTAATTACCCTGGTCCTTCCTGTTTTATTTTGCATAGTTTGTATTCTAAATTCTAATACTTTTACATTTTACAGCATTGTATATTTCAAAGTTCAAAAGATAGCCTCTCTTAAAGTTTTGTAATGTTTTTCATGGCGTCTTTTCTCAACTACTAGCTATCAGGGTTTGTTGATTTAAATCAAATGATTTTTTTTTAAAAAAAACATTGATTTTGAAAGTTAAAAAACAATGCTTTAAATTATTGATACTTTTGTTTTTTTTTTCTTAGTTTTAAAATTTATTTTAAAGGAATTGCTGCATTAATTAATTTTAGTTATTGAAATTACTTTCTTTCTTGGTGTGTGTTAAATTCCAACACATTTGAAATTACATTTTTAAAAATCTTTTTGATTCTTGAGATTGATTGGATAGCATTAAATGTGTACAAATCAAAGTACACATGTAGTGCTGTCTTAATATATACTTGCATAATTTTTTCAACAAAGAAAATGCAAATAATGTTAATTAAAATTCTACCTTTTGATTGAAAAAGCATGGAATTAAAATCTACATTATATTTTATTAGTGGAAAATGTATATTTCTAAAGCTTGAGGTTATATTAGAAGGAAAAAAAAGGGGGCTGATGAATTCAGATGTTTTTTTCCTGATGCAGTGTCATTCTTCCCTTTCAAAGTCTATTTGAAGCAGAGTGGAGCAGTAGAACTGGTAACTGGTTTTTCTTCCCTCATAATATGTTTATAGTATCTTTGACATTATCAGATTTTCTATAAAGAAATTTTGTGGAAAAAAATTCCAATGAGTACATAGATTTTTTTAAATTTTATTTTAGCTTAACTTATCTATTTTGATAAAAGATTAAAAATGAATATTTTAATATAAAAATAATTAAATATTTATGTATTGATGAATGACTACATTTATAAACACAATCTGTTGCATTTATTTTGTTATATTAAAAATCAAGAGAACAAAAATCTCACTTTTTAATTAAAATTATGGTTTGTTAATTGAAACTTTGTTTTAATAGTTAAGGAACAGGGATCTGTGACCAAGCCAAATTTATTACCACTTAGCGGTACCTTTACAAAATACTTCACTCTATCTGAATCAGCACTGTGGTAAGCACATATTAAATGTGGAATTTGTATTGACTAGCCGGGTTCCAATCCCAGCCGATACTGGGATTGGAACCCAGATCACCTCATCGAAAGGTGACCAAATAATTTTTAAAAAATTATTCGAAGAAAAACTTTTTTCTGTCTATTATATTATAAAACATAATATTTTCCATATGTTATTAACTTACTCGTAAAGGGCCCCCATATAAAAATAGGCACGGTGCTCCTGGAAACATAAAAACTGCTCTGATTCTATACAAAAGAATTGTCAACCTAGGGCTGTTAGTGGTACTTGCGTTGTGCTCATGTCTACTTTAGTTCATGTAATTTTTCAATATAACTATTTGTCTTTTAATTTAAAAGTATTAAAATTAACCACAGTTCATGTCTTATTTTTTTTTTCAGCTGCTACCTTCAAACTGTTCAAAGAAACTAGCTGCTACCTTCAGACTGTTTAAAGAAACTAGCTGACTAGAAAAAGCTGAAAAATTTGGTGAAGTTCTTGCCACCGCCAATGACCGGGAAGGCAGGAAGACTAAGTTTGCCTCAACTGACAGTTTTATTTTAGAAACAATTGATTGTATTAAAGAATGCAATAAATTATAAAAATTAGTATATTATTCTTTACTATTTAATAAAGATTATATTTCATTTACACATTTGATAACTGTTCAAGCCCTATTAGATATTTTGGCAACACTTTAATGGATAAAGGCTATAAGTAAATTAGATCGCAGCTTATTGTACCATGCTTACCCTTTTTTAAGTCAGAAATCTGAGGAAGTGACTCCTGTTATTTTATTATAACTATCAGTGTAAATATTGCTCTTTTTTCTTTTTAATCAGTTTTCTTAAAATCGAACCTGATGCTGTGAAGATAAGGAATTTTGTTTTCCCATACATACTATTTTAGTAAAATACAGATTATATAACAATAAAACGTCACAGCAAAAAAGTTTATCGTTTTAAATTAAACATATTGTGATTTTAATCTACATAGTAAAATATAGATGCTGTAAAAATTATTGCACAAATCACTTAAAATATTAAAATTATTTCACAGTATAAATGGCTGCTTGTACCCTGAAAAAGGGAAGAAATATCTTAACAAAACTATTTACTTTCTAGCTTATTTTCTGGAATAATAGTAAAATATACCTGCCTACCCAAACTTATTAAATATTTATAATTAAAAAATTCTACAAGTTTTGGGAATAACAAATAATTTAATTTTAAACAAGCTAGAACGGTTTTGTTAGGTTTTTCCAGCTTACAAGCAGGCATGAATATTTTCAAAAACTAATTTTTATTTTCTCAAATAACGTAATTTTGGCGATTGTCTGCATTCCACAGCATTCGTTTTTTGAATATCGTGTTGACGATGTCGGTCGACATAGTACAACGTTTGTAAATGCAGAGAGATGTCGATCGACGTTCCCCAACGTTTTTACAATATCGAACAATATTGTTTTGCAATATTGAATATACGTTATAAAAGGGGTCCATTTTTATATAGTACAATATTTCGCTACGATATTGTACAATGTTCAAAGCTAAGTTTTTACGATATCGTTTTTGTGAATTATGCTACTTGGATAGAAGGAAAAAAAATAGGATTTTAAGTATGTTTAGTCATGCCTGATTCTTAATATCGAGGAGAATCAATTTTGTGATCAGTTTTAACATTTTTTTCTTTTGTTTATTTTACATTATATTATTTTTTAATGCGTTTTTCGTTATTTTAAAGGGTTTCTATACATGCAAAATATTTTTTCTTCTTTCGGGAAATATTGAAAAATGCGTAAAAAAAGGAAAATTCATTTATTTATTTTATTTCATTTTTCAACTTCTTTTACAATATTTTCGATATTTTAGCGTGAATAAGGTGTTCTAGATATAAAACAAGTATCTTTCTTTGTTAAAGAGCGAATAATGGATCAAAAAGGGACAGAAATGGACTGGTCCGGCACGCAAAGTTCAAAACAACGTAACTCCCTTTAATATTAATCTATAGCGTTCTAACTCAGACCGAAAATGGGGCACCATAGGCCGATTATTCGTACCAAAGGAAATTTTTATAGAGCAATTAGGGAGCCCACAATTTGCCCAAAACCTTTTTTATATAGCTGACCGGGAGAGGGTTCTTTAAACTAAATATCCGTGGGAACACCCCGGATTGTAGGGTTGTGCGCGAGTGAGATTCTTTGAGCGGAGTAACACAGGTTCAAATCGCGGCGGCTGTCAATTCCTCAATTTTTTTTACATTAGTTTTTTAATAAGTTTTTCGATATTTTAAAGGGTTCTATTATGTATAAAAAATAATTTTCTTTCCTTCGGGAAATAGCAAATAATATGTAGAAAAAGGAAAAATCCCGGATAATTTATTCATTAATTTTATTTTATCTTATTTTCTTCAATTCATCGATATTTTAGCGTGAATAAAATGCGATCAACATATAAAAACAAGTATCTTTTTTTGTCAAGGATGTGAATGATGTTGGCCGAAAAAGGGACTCAAACTGACAGGATCAGCAAGCAAAATTCAGAACCACGTAACTCACTTTAATATAAAGCATTAAGCCATAATTTTAAAACTCGGACCGATAATAAAGAACAGTGGGTCGACTAATCGTACCAAAGGAAATTTTTATAGAGCAATTAGGGGCCCCAAACCTTTTTATATAACTGACCTATAGTGGGTTCAAGTTTTAAATAAAAGAGAGTGAACTATAAAAATTCATCAATAATAGTTTTTTCAAGCACCGATTAAAGGAGAGTGGGATCGAGTACCGATGTAAAGAGTGGGTTCAAGTTTTAAACAAAAGAGAGTGAATTAAAGAAATTGAACAAATAACAGCGATTTCATGCACCGATTAAAGGAGAGTGGGTTCAAGTTTTAAAGAAAGAAAAGAGAGCGAATTATAAAAAGTGATCAAATAATAGTGGTTTCAAGCACCGATTAAAAGAGAGTGGGTTCGAGAACCGATGTAAAGATAGCGGGTTCAAGTTTTAAACAAGAGAGAGTGAACTATAAAATTGATCAAATAACAGGAGTTTGAAGGAGAGTGGGTTCGAGTAAAGATGTAAGAATAGTGGGTTCAGGTTTTAAACAAAAGAGAGTGAATTAAAAAAATTGAACAAATAACAGTGGTTTCAAGCACCGCGATTAAAGGAGAGTGGGTTCGAGTACCGATGTGAAAATAGTGGGATCAAGTTTTAAAGAAAAGAGAGTGAACTATAAAAAGTGATCAAATAATAGTGGTTTCAAGCATCGATTGAAAGAGAGTGGGTTCGAGTACCGATATAAAGATAGTGGGTTCAAGTTTTAAGCAAAATAGTGTGAAAAATAAAAATTGAACAAATAACAGTGGTTTGAAGCAGCGATTAAAGGAGAGTGGGTTAGAGTACTTATGGAAAGATAGTGGGTTCCAGTTTAAAAAAACAAAAGAGAGTAAGCTATAAAAATTCATTAATGACAATTTTTTCAAGCCCCTATTAAATGAGAGTGGGTTCGAGTACCGATGTAAAGTTAGTGGTTTCAAGTATTCAACGAAAGAGAGTGAATAGTAAAAATCGATCAAACAACAGCGGTTTCAAGCTTCGATTAAGGGAGAGAGGGTACGAATACCGATGTAAAGAAAGTGGGATCAAGTTTTAAAGAGAAGAGAGTGAACTATAAAAAGTAATCAAATATTGGGGCTTCAATTATCGATTGAAAGAGAGTGGGTTCGAGAACCGATGTAAAGATAGCGGGCTCAAGTTTAAACAATAGAGAGTGAACTATAGAATTGATCAAATAACAGTGGTTTCGAGTACAGATGTAAAGATAGTAGGTTCAAGTTTTAAACAAAAGAGAGTGAATAATAAAAATTGATCAAATAACAGTGGTTTCAAGCATCGATTAAGGAAGAGTGGGTTTGAGTATCGATGTAAGGATAGTGGTTTCAAGATTTAAACAAAACAGAGTAAACTGTAAAAACTAATCAAAAGACAGTGGTTTAGAGCACCGATTAAAGGAGAAGGGATTCGAGTACCGATGTAAAGATAGTGGGTTCAAGTTTTAAGCAAAATAGTGTGAATAATAAAAATTGAACAGATAACAGTGGTTTGAAGCACCGATTAAATGAGAGTGGGTTCGAGTACCAATGTAAAGATAGTGGTATCAAGTTTTAAACAAAAGAGGGTGAATAGTAAAAATTGATCAAATAACCGTGATTTCAAGCTTCGATAAAAGGAGAGAGGGTTCGAATACCGATGTAAAGATAGTGGGATCAAGCTTAAACGAAACAGAGTGAACTATGAAAATTGATCAAAATACAGTGGTTTAGAGCACCGAATAAAGGAGAAGGGGTTCGAGTACCGATATGAAGATAGTGGTTTAGAGCACCGAGTTATAAACAAAAGAGAGTGAATAATAAAAATTGATTAAATAAGAGTGGTTTCAAACATCGATTGAGGAAGAGTAGGTTCGAATACCGATTGTCCGATTCACCATTGTTAAGTTGTGGAGAATCTTGTATGTATATTTAAATTAAGGACATAATTTCATTTTGAATAAAAATAAGCAATGAGTGATAAAATTATATTTTCAGCATGTTTATTCCGATTTAGGTTAAATTAATATTAAATCAAGAATGCTACATCATGCGACGACAGCCAGCATGAAACACAGCGTACCACTGCTGACGCTTTTACCTGATTCACCAGACAAGGTGAGGCTTTTGCCTAGCTGCTTAGGCTTGTGCCTGACTGCTACAAGACTCCCCTTCCGGCGTCAGCGTTGTCTTACAGGTAGTGAGAGTTAAATTTAACTCTCCTTCCAGACTTAATTACATAAGGCTGAGATGTGGGTGGCATCTGTGGAGCAGTCTGGACTGTGGTGGTAGAAGTTACGGGAACTGATACAGCTGGAAGAGGTGATGAAGGCATGGAAATAGTTTTAGTAGGAACAGGCAATAAAGGCATAGGCACAGGTGCTTCAGGGACAACATCGATAAATGCAGGTTTGACACGATCCACATTGACGGTGACATTTCGTGAGGCTAGCTGGATGGTAAATGTTTTGTCAGTTCTAGAGATGACACGAAAGGGTCCCATGTAGATAGGTGAAAGCGAGCTGCAGACAGAGTCTTGTCGTAAAAACACATGACTGCATGAAGATAAAGTACTGTGCACAAACACTGTCCTGCCAGAACGAAGGCGAGGAGGAACTGGTTGGATGCGAGACATGATGTCTCTCAGAAAACCAACAAATGAAGCAGGATCTAAATTCTGGTTGGAGGAGATGAAAAATTCACCCGGCAGCCAGAGGGGTGAACCATAGACCAATTCAGCCACACTGCAGTCAACATCACTTTTTAAACAGGAATGGAGGCCCAAAAGGATGGAAGGAAGGATGTCGACCCAACGTTCAGCTGCATAACAACGAATAGCTGCCTCCAGACTTCTGTGCCACCGTTCTATAAGCCTATTTGAAGATGGGTGGTAAAGTGTTGTGTGGATGCAGTGTGATCCTAACAGCCTTGTCAAAGACTTGAAAAGATGAGAGTCGAACTGGCGTCCACGATCTGTGGTTATCCTTAGTGGCACACCAAATCGGCAAATCCAGTTACAGTAAAGA